AAACAGGGAACATTTTATATATTATTTTTTTTAATTACATCAAAACTTTCATTATAATTATATTTTATAATGCAAAAATTAGCGTACAGACATTTATGCAATTTATTTCTCACAACATGGATGCTTTAATTGCAAAAACGTTAACACACTAGCGAATTTTTTTCTGATTAAGTATCGTTTTTTAAATAACAATGAAGTAATAACAGTACAATTATATTCGCTTTGATTTAATCATATACTTTGATACTGTCACGCTGCAAGTCACGTGCAGTCACCCCTCTTTGGAAATGGAGTCTTTCGTGATTGGTCGTTTTGTCTTGTCTTTGCCTCCACCATGGAGCATTATGGCGTCGTATCTCTGTTAGGTTACGATAGAGGTCGTCGTTTGTTCTAGCTGTTCATGGCAAGGAGTCGTATAACTGTAGGGTTGCAAGATGCATTCAGTAGGCTTGTGAAAAAAAAAAAATATCGAATCGATGTATAACACCGTTTATCATATTAATAAATCTTGCGTTGATATAGGAATATAGCCGAATTATCAATTTCGCCGTTCTATTATCACGCGGAGTGACAGCGTTGCGGTTATTTCGAAGCGCGTTGAGATACATAGGGATAATTGGAAGTACCGGGTGCAATGTTCGAATGAAAAACGGGCAACCGGCTCATCACCATAAAATTCCATTAAATTGACACACGTGACAAAATTAGACCGATTTGCTGCATATCAGTAATGGAATAGCCTTGTAATAGCGATAAACCAAATAACTACGCGAAGTGTTGACTTTACCGATAATACACCGCGTGATATTTTGTAACATAAAAATCGACTGGTGGAGATAGAAAAAAAAAGAATATGATTCTTCGACGAAAGTCGGTGCACGGCTGCAATTGTCCCTGTCATCAACATTGCTCGACGAAATGTGCAGGTTTGGGTTACGCGTTTTTTCTACCGCTTTCTAAATTAATTTAACACGTGTGTATAGTTGTCAGTAGCACTGAAATTAGACGTACGAACGATTCAAACGACTATTTGTAATTCCCTTTTATGGCTTTATCTAAATATAAACGGATTATTGATTTATGGAACTGTTCAATTTATTTATATGCTCGCTATAACGTACTACAAATGATCGATATTATAATTATATACTTTCATTGTCAATATTTATGTTAGCTTAAATTAATTTCCATTAACAATTTCTTGTGAATGTTTATTTTTGTATCACACGATGTATGTGTAACATATTCTTATACATGTCAGTATATGCACGTTCATATCTTTAACACATTTAAGAATTTCTCTTTGCACTAATTTTATCATGTGTATTCACATTAAAATGTCAGTTATTTAGTAATTTAATGTGCTTAAATGTGCTATATATTGATACTAAAATATATTACTCTCTAAATATTGAATGAATAAGCTTGACACAGTTATCAGCGTTCTATATTTACACTATATGTACTTTTATATAGTATATGATATAATCGTTCAATATAGTATTATGCAGTTTTATTTATAAAATATCTCTTAAAAAATTTAAACAGACTTTTTAATATTCGTGTGATATTATTGGTGATATATGTTTTTTTAATGATTGGTACGAATGTAACGTGGAGATTGTCCCATTTGTACGGGACTGGTTCTGTTATCCCCTCCATGAAACATTTAGAACTACATTCGCCATATCATTGAGCGTGGTGCTTTATAGTATCAGCCGGTATTATCGAGATTTATAAGAAATCTGTACTGTGACAGCATACATTCACAAATGTGGTATTTTTTTAAACATACTACAATCGACTTTGCGGAAATAATCACAAAGTCAAGGTAAAAGAAGGTAAGTAAAATTTGACTTGCCTCATACCATAAAGATCCGAGTTGGAAAGCCATTGTTGTGAATAGCGATTCTCAACCTTCTCGCTGTGGGATGTATTTTTCAAAAATAAAAGTTATGGAAATAGTTACATATTTGTTTTTCCCGTTTACGATATTCATTGAAATTTTGTTTATTACCATACTGTACAATTTTTGAGATATTTTTAGTTAAACAAATTTCACAATTGGCATGAATATACAAGTGACACTGTAATCAGCTGATCATTTGTTTAGAATATTTTTATTCGGTGTTTTTCATCTTACGATATTTTATAAATATATAATATTTGATTTTTAGCTTCAATTTTTGTTTTTTTGTTAGTATATTTTTATCATTGAAATATTGCTCTTTGCCAGAATATATAGAGTGTTAAAAGCCACATCATTCTGTGATATTCAGTGGAATATGGATACTAATTTATGTGAAGAAAATGAGATAAAAATGCAAGCAGAAGTTGCAACATTGCAAGATACTTTATGTGATAAAAATCTAAAAACACAAGTATCTAATTGTCAATGTATGGTTAATGATGAGTTGACGTATACACAAACAAGAGAACAGGTAGGTGAATATCTAGTTTAAATCTTATAGGAAAAATATATTAAACTTTTTATTGTTACATGTTTTAATATTAATTATTTTATTATTTCTTAATCTGTGGAGACTTATATATGATATAATTAAATTTGTTAATATAAACATTAAATTATGTTAATAATTTACTAATATTTTGCATAACACATAAGAATATTTTGTATTACAGAGAACGCATACAGATGCGACAAGCACTACTTCCAAGCCAAAGAAGAATATGACAAAAATTAAGGTGAAGAAACTTAAAATTGAAGGAGAACCAAGTTATGAATCTACAAAGTTAGAAGATAGTCCAGCTCAAGTATTAGAAAGATTTAAAAGAGGATGTGAATGCCAGGATGATCAGTGTTTCAAGGGTTTAAATCCTGAGACTGTATATCGACACAGACTAAATATTGCAGAGTTAACAAAGGCTGAGCATGATATGTATTTGATGGGTGTTACCATGGCATGTTTAACAAATCCATATGAAACAGCAAGACATACAGAACGGCGTAGATTACGTGCACAATATGTGTATCAGGGCAGAAGAGTTTGTTTAGATGCTTTTTTATATCTAGAAAATTGTACACATTATCAAATAAAAAGAATTAGGAAACATCTAATGACCCATGGTGTCACACCCCGAGTTCATGGCAATCATGGAAAAATTCCACACAATACATTTTCCTTAGACATTTATAAAATTGCTACAGAATTCTTAAAAAATTTCATTGAATTGCAAGAAACAAAACAAAAGACAAAAGTTGCAAAAAATGCACAATTACATCTTCCATCAGACATTACACGTAAAGTTGTGTATGATTCATATATGCAGTATTGTAGAAAAATATCTCCCGATACAAAAATTATGGGATACTCAACATTTAGAAGATTTATGAAAGTTCAGTTTCCACAAGTAAAGTTTGCAAAATTAGAATTTATGATCAGAAATCAAAGTGTGCAGAATCAAGAATGTAGTAAGATAGATTTGGAGAAAAAGGATGTCACTGATGAAAAATCAATTGAATCAACAGATTTGATAACAGAAGGTGGTGCCTTATTACCTTTATTAATTGCTAGTGAAACAGGACAAAGTGATACTTACTTTTTAACACCAGCTAGTAAATTGCAAGATGGTATGAGTTATCAGATAACTACAAGTGGACTTCTAGTCAATAAATCAGCATTACCTGTTTAAACAAAATAAATGCCATTTAAAAAATAGTCTTATCTATTTAATATTTAAATACAGTCAAACATTACAAAACAACATTAAATACAGTTAAATATTACATTTTATAAAGAGATAATGTATAGTTTGTACAATGAAATAAATGTTTTTTTTTTATATATGTATGTATGTATATATATACATATATATATATGAAGGGACAAGCAGTGATAGTTTATGATTATTTAAAACATGTATGTTCATATATAAAATCAAAGTAAGAATTTGATGTGTAATTGTGTTATATTGATATTTACTATTTGTAAAACATAAATGTATAATAAATAATTTGTATTTTTGCAAATTATGAGTCTTTTCTTTTTAGTATTATACATTCATATCAAACCATTGCATGTAAACTGTAGAAATTCCAATTATATCCTATCAGAGTTAAATTCCAACATGTAAATCAAGAGATTGGAGGATGAGAAATACAGTGCTTCTCAAATTTAAGTAAAATTTACACATATATAGAATGTCTGTTATTAGTACTAAAGTTAAATGGAATTTGTTTAATTTTTAAATTGGTAATGAAAATTGGACATTTTAAGAAATGGGAAAAAGGAAAAACTATGCAAACAATTATTAAATTAAGTTTCTTAATATGATAGATATAAACTTGCTTTATAACAATGTATGTACTGTTCTCTTATTCAGTGATATGTTTACTGCTAGTATACAGAGTATCTGGATATTATTTTATTCTAATAAAACAGCCTTTGTTTTGTTTTTTGTGAAAAAATAATCTTATAATTTGTGCAATGTTAATTTCAAGTTTGAGAGCCTCTTGTTTTACAGTTACAGCTGAAATATTGTAGGTACAACAGGGAACTGTTTCAGTTAGTTGGAGTCAGCAAGGTCATATAAGTGCACTTTGAGGTCTTACACTGATACATAGTAAATATTGAAACATAAGTGGTTGTCAACATAAATTGTACATAGCTTTGTTAAAATACTTTCTTCAAATAACCACACAGTTATATGTTGTAGCAGTTACTCACACTGAAAAGTTT